GGGAGAGAAAACAGACACAGGCTTGGTGTAATCTGCAGGCTAAGAAGATTCCTGCCTACATGTTGACAGACTGCTGTCAGCCAGTAATGACCACTAGTCTGGATGATAAAAAAAACCTATAAAGAGTGGAAGTAATAGAGTAGCCACTATTAATCCTTTAGAGGATTGTTCCTCACGACATGCTGCTGCACACAACCAAGGTCTATTTCTATAATGGGTTTGGTTTTGTATTTAAAGGTTTAACTCTGAATGTATAGTTATATCTACGATAACGATAACAATGTTCAGCCTCTTTATTGCATGTCTGGGTTTTTACATAATGAGAGGTTCACTTTGAAATAATGGTTAATCACTTTTAATCACACGTTCAAGTTTATTTGAAGAGCACTGTCTCGTACAAAAGTAATTATTTTATCGCTGAACAGAATGATAAACGATAACACACACACACACACACACACACACACACATACATAAGGACTAAATAAAAGCAAAACTAAACAGAATTGTCTGGTTTATTCAGTGTTTGTGCAAACCTGATTGTTGAAGATGATGTAGGTCGCGGTTAATTGAAAACCATGTATCTCCAAATTTTGTGATTTTTACTTTTTTATTTTAACTGAAGGATTACATTTAGACTTTATAATAAGGGTATAAATCATATGCTTAACTAATGCTTAACTAATGCTTAACTAATGCACGACTCATGCTGATTTAATGCAGAATTCCTGTTGCTCATCACTAACAAGTAATCAAGTCACTATGACTTTTTGTGATTAGTTCACACTTTATAGATTATCAATTAAGGAATGTTAGTTCACAATTACTTCATACATTAAAGCTGCAGTAGGTAACTTATATAAAAAGTGTCATATTTGCTGAAACTGTCTCTATATCTGCACTGTAGTATAAATCAGGTTCTTCTGGCTCCTCCTAGTGCTCCTAAGGTCATTTGCAAGAATGAACCACACGTTGAACCAAAACAACCAATCAGAGCTGAGAAAGATAGAGACTCATTCTCAGGTCGTTATAACAATCAAACTATCATTCTTGGCTCTGATTGGTTGTTTTCGTTGAGGCCCGGTGGATTCTTGTAAATACCATTAGGAGCACTAGGAGGAGCCAGAAGAACCTGATTTTATCACAGATTATCCGTCTCATACTGTCAGGATATAGTGAACGTTTCAGCAGCTTTAACTGACTTTAAGTGTTACTTTATGGATTCTTAAGCTAAATATACTCATTAAAAAATCCCAGTGGACTAGCTAAAGAAATGCATTGTCACAAAGCTAAAAACAAGGTTGTTTTTCTCAGCTCACAACAAAAAGGGAAAGGGAAGAGATACCTGGTTTTCACAGTGATGAATGTTACTCGTTCATTATCTGTACCATTTGGATGCAAAGGAGTTGGACAAAAAGAAAACTTAAAGATGACCTATTTAAATAACCTCCCAATAAGGTGGTCATTTCTAGGAGGCAACTGGTTGAAATAAGGTTGATTACATTTACATTTAAAGAAAAAAACTTCCCTGAATGTGTTTCTATTTTTGCTGTATATTTATGTTACAGACCTTGAATTCATGTCTCTTAAAAGTCTTTTTCTCAATCAGCCACCCACTTTGTGAGGTCCATAAATAACATGGCAGTGAAACACACAATCATTGCCGATTTACAGTCAATGTGGAATAATAAGTAGCTGTCACAGTTGGTGTCCATTTGCTGTCAGGCTGGGCAGCCTCTCGAGTCCGGCTGCCTTCACTCCATCCATTATATTAATGTGTTGAATACGTGTGTGAGTGATTGAATGGCTAAAATATACAGAAACTGGTCTATAGCAGGGGATAAATCCCCTTTTCAGTTTGCTGCAGTGTCCTCTTTTTCTCATACAGGAGGCCTTTTTGTCACTATCATGTAGTTTTCAATATCTGTGGAACAGTTGGGAGTAGAGGGAAGACAGACAGAGCATATGGCCTCCTTATAACCTTGTCCACTCACTCCTGTAGTGCTCCCTCGCTTGTTTTGAGTCCTGTAACAGGCTGACTGCCCATCGAGAAGCAGCAGAGCGTGTGTGCTGGGACACTGAACTTTGCCACTGCAGATACAGTTTCCTGGTTGAATTTCTTCGAGCAGAGACAGACACAGAAACAGAGAGCACGCCGCTGAACACCTTACATAACTAGGTGGAAAAGACAGATGTTAAGGCAGTGCTTTGAAAGGCAAAGACCTCATGTCTGTCAAAATGTCCTGCGAAAATGGCTTTAGTTACAGTGTGAATGCACCTGGGCACTTTCTATAGCCACCTGGACAGTAGAAATATGCAGTTTGGAGAGGATTATATTTGCTCACATCACTGTATTTGGCTGTGTCTACTGAAAGTGAAAATGAGAAGTTTCCTGAGAACACAATGTTCTTTTTTGTGGTATTAAATATGGAAGTGAGCAGATGCTGTCTTCCCTGAAGTGTCCAGTGTCGCGCTGGTGATAATCCTCGGGGCTTCTCTATGTATGTGTGTGTGTGTGTGTGTATAGCAATGTCTTTCCTGTCCTCTCATGTATATTTTTTGTGTTGTTTGCTTTTGGATTCCCCTCCGCTGTGCTTTTCATCCTTGAACAACACGTCAGTCAGGTGCTCTCTGAGGACTACAGCGAGAAAGGAAGAGAGAGAGACGTGGGGACACCAAGAAAGAGTAAAAGAGAGACAGAGAAAAGGGGAGGAAGACAGGGGAAAAAAAGGAGTTTTGAAAGACTCCTAACTTCCAAGCTGACTGTCATAGCTGTGCTCGCCAGAGGGGAGAGCACCTTTAAGCATACTGGATGAGTAACGATGTGGAGGGACTACAAAAGCAAAGTAATACATAATAATAAGCAGCGCTCACTGCTTTGCCAGCTAACCTACATGAGATTGGTGTTGAGTAAAAATTTGGACGTGCTTGAAAGGTCAGCAAAGGCCCTTTGTAAAATGGGGCTTCTCCTTTAACGCTCCGCACACACTGTAATAAGATTTAGAAAGTACAGACGTAACTGTTAGATTGGGATGTCAGCCTCAACACATAGATTTCCATTGAAATGAGGAACAATACCAGATAATGTGGTGACTAAATCAAAATGTGACAAAATGTTTTACATACTGCACGTACTGTTTTACATACCTCAGTTATATTCACACAATAATTCACTTATGTGCTACTGAGGATATAAACCTGCTTCTCATTCACGCTGCAGCATAAATCAACAAACACATGATGTATGTCTCTGCTGGTTTGGTTTAAAAAGTACAATAAAGCTATCATCGTTGAACCCACTGAATCATTTTCTTCTTTAGTGCCACTCATCTTTTGACTGCAGTCCTTTTTCACTCATTAGGCCTAAAAGGCATTTTCACTGGCATCGGGGACAAAAGAAAATCTAGAAATATGAGTGTGTGATGTCGTATGAGTGCAGAGCATTGCCTGCTGTTTGAACACAATGCCCTGTGGTTTGTTTTGTTGCACCGCCCAGAACTCAAACATTAGGGTGTTTGCGCCCGTATTGACACTTTGCAGTGTTATGCCAAAACCAACTGCCTGTATCCTTGCAGGGATGGACCATAATAATCCGGCTCGGTTTGTCCTTACTAAACAGGGTTTCACGTGTGCACAGCCGAGCAAGAGAATCGTTCCTTTGTCATGTTTGATCCTAGAGAAGAGCCTGATGGTACAATAGCTCAACTTAACTTTTGTTTGGTTCGGGTCAGAAGTCTGCGGCACAAATCATAACACATCTGTGAACACAAGTGGAAAGAGTAATGGGTCTGCTGCAAGCTTCATTTTTTTCAGCTCCCTCCTTCTTAGGATGCAGGACAGCTCCTTTGTAGTCACTTCATTATGTAGAAATGATAATTATGCCCCAGTGGAAGCTAGCTTCACCAAAATGTATTAAGAGCCCCTCAGTCACATCCACTGATAATCACGTCGTGACTGTCATTTTGAAATTTTAATTTTCTGAAAGTGTTTGAGCGAGACAGACACTGAAAAAAGAAAAAATATAAGCAAACTATAATTCTCAACTGTTATTTCCCCCTCAAACACTTATTTTATTCCACTTTTACCTCTTACACAACTGCCCTACAATTGAAGACGAGCTGAAATTAGTCATTTAAGTTGATGTCAGGACGTTTCTGCTTTATTTGACATCACAGTTGCATCAAATGAAGAAAAGAGAAAGAAGCACATGGAGAGAGACAATGAGACAGGACTGACCTGTGCTCATGTCTCAGTTTAGTCATAAAATAACTGTCCGAACTCGAGGGTGCATTCACAAGAAGAAGGAAAAAAACGCATGTTGAGGTAATGACCATTAGATTATAATTGGGCACTTGGTACTGCAGCAGCCTCTCTTTTTTTAAGTATATTTTTTGGGGCTTTTATTGCCTTTTATTATAGTGACAGCTGAAGATAGACAGGAAAGGGGGGCAGAGAGAGCAATGACTCAGCCTCGGTACATGGCGCGCTCACCATGAAGCAACCGCGCCCACTGCAGCAGCCTTTCAAGTGTGCTGCAGGCAGGATGTGCAGACGTGCTACAAGCCAAATTATCAATCCAAAGTCTAAGAAATAGCAAAGCCAATGACGGCTTAAACTGAATTCACACAGTGTTACTTATGCTACACTTGAAATTAAACTGCAGCTATGTTGAATGATTCAGTTTCCCAAAACAAAAGCAAGAAGTCTTTCCATCTTACTCATTTCCTGTTCTACTGTTGACCGTGGCGTGGGCCTGCAAGAAGTGGAAAAAAATGACCCAAAACTAGAATATTTTGTCAGTAAGATGGGTTTGTGTTTTCTTTCATGGTTCCCTAACAATGCTGGGAGCAGGAGGAAGGGATTTGGCCGAATAAATCCAGGTCAGACATAGCCAGATTACCCCCTGATCTGCCCGGAAAATTCCAACATCCAACACACTAATGGGAAGACACTCTGTTCGATTGAGGACAAAAAATATGACTTATTAAATACAAGAAATGTATTCTTTTAAAAAAGTAAATTGTATTATATTTGTTGCGTCTGGATACAATACAGAGACACAAAAACAATCATATGTACATGAGTGAAAATAAAAACTGTTCACAATTCACAAAAGTAAAAATGCAATGTGATAAGTACACTTAATTTAAAAGGCCTTTAGTTAAACAAGTGGGGCTGTTGAAGAGGTTCCTGGTGATTTCTACTTAGTATGTCATGGATTTTTAAACCGAGGGAGATTTAAACTAACCCTGAGATGTGGAGGGATTGGAGAAAATGGCATCCAAAGACAATTAAAGTCAACTGTATTTGGGGACTTAGGAAGAAGGATTTACTTCAAAGCTTCTCAAAATGATGCATTAAGAGTCAAATGGGTCTAGCAAATGGGAATATATCGAGGGAAGTCATCCAAGAAATAAAAAGGTGAATAAAAAAGGAACCACCACAGCCACCACCTCTGTCTTCATTATCACCATTAGCAGGGTTATAATCATCAAGTGCATACTGTTTTCTGAAATGTTCCTCTGGAAAAAGACTGCATTATGAGCAACATCAGTCTTCCTTTCTTTGGCAGAGCTGCTGTGGATGAAGTTAAAGTTTCAGCAATCCTATCTGGAAAAGCACAGCACTTATTACACGGCTCAATTTCCAATTCTCTCACAGGTACGCACACAAACACACGCACACACACATGCTCACACGCAGAATACAAAATGAGGCCGCGGCACAAAACAATCTCCCAGACAGGCTCAGTGATACAAAAAACACACAGACAAAAAGGAACAGGACAGTTATTATGTGAGGTTCGAGAGGGATAGTAGTAACTATTCATATGCTCCTTTATAAGGAAGAAACACAACATCTTTCACTCCATTAAAGGACTTGCATCACACAAACAGAGATGGTTATCTCCATCACATTACATGAGGCTGCTGTGTGGTGAAATGGAGTGGCTGCTCGACAGAGGCAGGCTATAGGCCATTACACCACCCCAGAGCGGGGAGCTATAATTGCAGAGGGAGACTACAATCAGGTACTGTGTTTGTCTCTGCTCTAATCTCTATACCCTGCCTGGTCCTTTTCATAGAAACGAAGCTGCAGTTTTAGTCCTGCCTTTCATCTGACTGCTCATGGGGAGTCGTTCTAGTTCAGATCTGTCAAAATTCAAACCAGAGTTTAGTGTGTTTTTTTCCTTTTTTTAGATAAACCTGAGGCAACACCGATAAATCTGAAACACAGCTGACCCTGGGCTCCAACATCTATTACGACGAGTAACTCATGCCTGTGCTTTATTCCTCTCTGACAAAACGGCAGAGCAACCTTTTGCACCAGGTGCCACACTGTGCCGCTCCCCTGCTGTGATTTCGACATTTATAGACAAAAAAAGTAGTTTGTCTGAGCAGATGAGCGTACAGCCAGTGAAACATTTGAGTCAGTGCAGAGACAATCAACAATACACAGAGCAATCAAATTCCTTCATGTTTATGGTCCCCTATGACCCAAATACTTCATCTTTGTTGTGGTGGCTATAAACCAGACTGTTAAAAGCATAACTAGGTTTATAGATGCCTTACAAACAAAAGCCTGGCCTCTCTACAAAGTGGACTTCAGTGCATGATGGTGAGAGCTGTAAGATGCAGGCTAAGCAGGATTACTCAACTGCCACGCTTCACATGGTTTCATTATTGCGGGAAAGTACAGTACAGCGCTTGTTTAGGATTGAGTGCAATACTACGTTTAAAAAAAAAAAAAAAAGAAATATTACTTCTTTATGTCCTTGGGTATTTGGAAAAGACAGAAATTCATATTCTTTCCTCTCCCGGTGCTCTCAAAAACCATTTTCATCCATTAAAAGCTCCTTACAGAGATATAACTGAAGGCCTGTGCCTGGATTCATGTCTTTTTGATTAAGTAACAGAGCAAGCATAGTGCCCTTGGAAAGAAGATAAATATGTTTTTTTTTTTTAAGGCACAGTTGTCAAGGCTCCTACCTCTGAATATACTGATAAGAGCATGAAGTTTTACATTCATTTAAAAAAATATCTGCTGGGTTTTGTTTACTCTGAAATAATAAAAAGTCACGCTGGGAAAGAAACAGACTTTGGACTAAATAGCCAAAATAATTTCAGTGTTACAGTAATGGCTGAAAGACACACACAAACACAAAGCAACAAAATGAAAAATAAAAATGTTCATGATTGTCACCTTGAAAAAAAAATAAAAATAAAAATCCTGCAAGTTGGTACATGAGGGGTGACTGGAGGTAAAAGCGCCTGATGACGAGGCCAGCAGAGGTCAGAGGTTCCCCTCGTCGAGCATCTTGTTGACCCCGTTGCAGATCCTCTGCAGGTGAGCGCGGTAAACCTCCGTGGGCCCGTAGAGAGCCGCGAGGAAGTCACAGTCGGAGAAGTGATTGAACACGTGGTTGACTCGCGAGTGGCTCTTGGCTGTCAGGTGGCGTTTGATGGCCTGGTGCAGCAGCTCACGGCAATCATTCAAAATGGCGCTCATGACGCGGCGGTCAAAGGTGAACTCAATCTGGTGGAAACTGACCGCCGTCATGGCCAGAGTGTGGACTTTCTTCCTGTGAGACAAGGAGGGAGAGAAGAGGCTGTCAGTTTCTAATTCTGACTGGAGCAACAGAGGGAAGTAAAAATAGAAACTGCTGTCTTGTGATTTTCCTCAAGAGAAGTTTCCCCCCTATATCAGTTATAGTATTGTCCTTCGCAGCGATGCATCTCCATGCTAATATAATCACCATTCTCCATACTGTGCACTTATGTCAGCTTCAAATGCCTTCCAGCTGAGTTTTACTATTTTAGTGGAAAATATATAAACTGATGTAAAAGTCAATTTACTTAATTTGCTTCCATCAGCACACAGAATGTACTTAAACTGCAGTTCTCCCCACTTGAAGCTCTCGACCAGAACCAGCTCCTTGTTGTTTGTTTCTCAAGGGTTGTCACCTTCTCATACACAATGTAACAAGATTTAAATATATGGCGCGATGTGAAAAAGCTTTTCAGTTTGACATTTTAGAGAAAATACGCGGGTTTGCTCTCCTTCTGAGAATTAGATTAGATTTCTGCAGCGTTATGTATTTGTGAGTAAGTGTTGAAGTAGAAAATGTTTGTTGTGTGTATATCACTGTGCATGTATTTAACAACCAAAACAACCAATTTGATCATTAATAGGCTGTATGCATGTACATATTTACAGCATTTCCAATGGGCTTATAGACTGAAAAGATCGCTGCAAGTCTTTTCTGCTTTGTGTCTGGTTGACGGACTCACACAGACTGATCAACACGGGAGCCCAAATGAAAAGAGCGTTTTTCTATTCTGCGTCTGTTAAACCCGCTTTGTATTGTCATACGACACGGCTTATCCAATCAATGTGTGAGTTTCAGACAAAAGGTTTACGTAGGCGATGTGATTGAGGAGCTAAAATACAATTAATTATTTCCAGGATCCTTTGTAGTTTTAATCAAATTCCAGGTGTCTCTAAATTTCCAGGTTTTCCAGGATGCATGGAAACACTGCTATTTCCCAAAATGTTGAACTATTTATTGACTCTTGCTGCCTACCTGAAGTTCTCCACCAGGATCAGCTCCTCGGTGTTGAACTGGTTGTTTCTGTAGAGCACTCCCAGCTTCACCACCATCTTGATCAAGTTCTTGATGATCTTCTGGGACTCTTTGCGGTTGCGGGTGTACTCCTTGGTGACGCGGTACAGCTCGTCCAGCACTTCGCTGCTGGTGTCGTCGATGAAGAGGTTGGCCATGCTCTTGGTGGCCATCTTGCTCATCAGCTTCTTCTGCGCCTGCAGGGCTAAGCTCTTGGTGCTGAAGGAGTCCATGGTCAAGTCTGAGTTCAAACAAGTCAGACAAAAGAGAGAAAAAAAGAGGTGAAACTTGTTATACTAAAGTGCTATGCATGTAATGAGGGCGGACATACTTCCTTTCCTTTTTCAAATGATGACTGAAAACATGTTTATTTCCGAGTCTTTTACAGCAGATATGAAACTAGACATTATCAGAGAGAAACCATTTCCTGCTCAGACTTTCTCATCTTGAAAGCACAAATGGGCCGAACATAACATGCTGACAGCCTGCAATGTGTGAGGTTATTGCAAATAACATCTACACTAATACTGTTTAAACTGCAGGGCCAAGGAACTGTCCCCTTTATCAGATAATGAGCCGTGGCAGCTGTCAAATTAGTCCCAGCAACCCTCTGGCTCAGAGCCTACAAGGTAGTTAGAGAAGAATGTGTCATTACGCTTACAAGAGCAAAGTCAGTTACAGCACGACCACGCAAAGCAGACAATGTAATCTGCAGAAGGCATTCGGAGAACAAGGTGTGCGTGTATGTGTGAAAATGAGGCAGGAGGCAGACTGCTGCATCTCATTCAATGCACGCGTGTTGCTTGATTTATGTATGATGCTGTTTCTGAGTGTGTGTTTGTGTGTGCCAAAACAGGGTGACTCAGTGAAAGGCTGCACCCATGATGGAGGCGCATAAATAGTGGGGGTCACAGGGGGCCACCAGCTTTCACTCCCCCCCACACATCTCTCCTATCAAATGAGGCAGGCCCACAGCACGCCACATCATTTCAGTAGCTGTGTCTCAATGCGTTCTGCGGGTCACTTCTTCAGGTTTGTACATTCTGTCTTTGAAAAAATAAAATGAATTTTCCTGTACACTCCCACTCTGACCTTCACAGATGTGCAAGGATGAGTACACAAGAGTAAAACGGCAAAAAAAAAAGGGTTTCCACAACTGCCCTCTAATAACACGGGGGAAATGAATGAAGAGTGAAGAGGAGGGTGACACTGTACTTGAAATTCAATTTTGATATGACATACCACCATTTTCAAAAATCTGTTCTTACACAATTATACAAAATAACTAAAAAAGTAATTAATTTTCTCTTAACTCCCTAAACTTTATTTGGCGGATCTTGAAGTACAGCTGCAACTAACTTATTTTCATTAATATTAATTATAAAGTGTTGTCTGTTATAATTTACCAGAGCCCAAGTTGACATCCTAAAAATTTCTCGAGTTGAAAACCCAAAGATTTTACAAGGATAAAAAGAAATTAAAAAGCAGCAAATCCTCAAACTGGAGAAGCTGGATGTGAATGTTTGTCATCACTGCTTGATTACCGACGTAGAAAATGAACTGATTATCAAAATTGTTTCAGATTTTCTGTAACTCAACTGTTTCAGTTGAACTTGAAACAATATTGTCTGCAGAATCCAACAGATGAAAACTATACGTTAAGTCTCTTTTACAACAGAGTTTAGATGCAATTTCTTCTCATTTGTTTATGTAAAATTATACTGTAAGGTCAGTGAACGCAGCACGCACACACACACACACACACACACCAGGAGAGCGATCTAAATCATTGCAGGACAAAACACCAGATTTACATGAATATGTATTATGATTTATCAGATGAGGAAAGGTACTACTGAACCTCACATTTCTATTGGTACTAACATGCGTTTTATCACAGCAGGTATCAAAATCTGTCACTGAATGCTTGATCCAATTCATGCTTCTTTTTTAATTAAAAAAACAACTTTGACATCGGCTCAAACGCAAGGACATTCAGTTTACTATGATGTAAAACAGAGAAAAGCAACAAATATTCACATTAGAGACTTTTGCCTCTAAAATGGCTCAAATGGATAAATGACAAAATGGTTGCAGATTTATTTTCTGTCAATTGACTCATCAGTTAATGAACTAATCTTTTCAGCTCTACAGATAAAACCTCTGTATTCCTCAAATAAGTTTTAGTATAAAACCAGTATAGTTTAGCCACATTGTATTGCATCTTAGGAATTAAGGAGAAACAAATAAGTAAAACACTTCATCACCTAGGGGGGAAAGCTAAACATAAAACCGTCTCAGTCAGATCTCATTTTCTTGATACGTTCCCCCGTCACTGACATGGTAAATGTGACTGTCACAGTGAAAACAAAATAATTATATTTGAGCAAAGTGTCCCATTCACATCACAATAGGGGTATAATCTTCATGCAATATCCCTCCATATGAAAGTAACCCAAAAGCTTAACTGAAAATCTGCATGATTGGCAAATTGCCCTTCCACGTGCTAGACGATAATAAAAATCCAAAGTGGGAGAGATTCTATTAGTGCAGCAGACAAAATGAGCGATGACATATCCCTGCTGGGTGACTTGTGATTTTTACTGTTGTTGGTACTAGAAGGCAGTGCGTCTTCTGCTAGTGCATGACTTTCATTCCTCTCTCTACCTCTCTCTCTCTCCCTCCCTCCCTCTGCAATGCCTCTCCAAGAATATCAATAAGACTCCTTGGAGAGAGTGTCAGCAGGATGCTTCCCAGGGAGGAGACACATGAGGACAGCGAGAGCAAAGACAAGAGTCAGAGAGATGGAGAGAGAAAGGGCGGACGGGGCGGGGGGCAGCTGTGTTATACATCAATCCTGAAACATCGGGGAAATGTAGGTGTTGAATGAGAGGTCATTTTTATACTGTCTCATGCTGAATCTAGTTTTACTCCCTCTCTCTTTGCAGGTGCAGGAACGTTTAATCGGGCCTCGTGCTGCGCTGATCAAGGATCACTGGCAGATCCCCATCGACCACGATTGTAACTCTAAACTTGCCATGCTGCACTTGTTACAGAAAATCGTGCTCTGATGCAATGTGTGTGAAACGGATAACGGGGAGAAAGACACTAATGATCAGACTGAAAATCAACACACACAAAAAAAACTGAATGGGAGATCTTTATTTCCATTTGAGCGGTGACTAAAAACAATCACTTAGTCCTGCCGTCACCCTCTAATCACATCGGTTAGCCTCAAGAGGACAATCGCTTATCGCAAACACTTAGAGTAAGTCTTGATTTACCACCCCTCTTTCCCTCCCTCCACCCTCGCTGATGGACGTTTAAGAGTTTAGAGAAGTGCGAATAGATAATGGCCACATTAAGAAAAGCAACCTCTTTCTCAGATTGGAGGGTTATTTCAAAGCGCTCATTAAATTCCACTCTCGTCAGGGACCAGAGCCATCATAGCTGTCAGCTCTGTGTAGCCTGTCGATGAACAACAGGAAAAGAGGAGGAGGAGGGAAACGAATGAGTATGGGAGGAGTGTTTGTCTTTCATACCCATGAATACAAATACTTTAACTTAGGATTGTCTGTCTGAGGTTTCATTCAAAGCTGCGGAGTGACAGAACAGACCACGGGGACTCTTATCCTAAGGATGGAGGGAGATCCTCACTTCCCCGCCTCCGTTTCTCGAGATGAGAAAACCAAAGGGAATATACAGGTGCTTGGAGTGATCAAAATGTTTTCAATCATCAAGGAATCTTTTTTTTTTTTTTTGGTGACTTTGCAGCATGAGAGCGGTTACTGCCAAATCTAAATGGCCTGTGACGTCGGGTGCCCAGGGACAGCCTGGCCAACCCTGACACAGCGTCTAGCTGTATTTATAGAGGCAACATTTTAACCGATTTAAGGCAGAACAAGACATGATGGCAGCAAAAACTGCAGATTGTTGTTGCAAAATGTAAAAGCCACAGCATCACTGCATTCAGAAATCACACATCTGCATCTGCACATCCGTATGCATACACATTACTCATAGGTCTGGTTTGTCGAGCAGCTGAAAATGAAAAACAAAGACAGATTGCGGCAGCCAACAGATCCTCGGCATAATTACGGCAGTTAGACAAGCTACAAAATCATCAACTCGCCTAGAACAAGCCAGCATGCTCTCACTCACAAAAGACATGAAGGCAAAAGCTGAGCAAACACGACTCATGGAAATGAAACCCGACCCCACACAGTGTTGGATGGATGTCTTGTGACAGTGAGGGAGCCTGGGTAATGTACCGAGGGACTCTCACACCCTCCTGCAGGTGTAAACAGCCCTGTCAGCCCGACTGAGGGGTCCAAGTAAAAACAAGCTGTGATGACGAAGAAGCAACCCAACTGTCCCCTCTTGTCCCTGGAGGATTACTGAAGCTGGGTCAGATGAAGCTCTATAGGCCCTTTATTATCTGGGTTTAATTTGCTTTGCCTCTTTGAGTTTCAGGGCAGGTGAAGCTGTCTGCATTGGGGACACTTCAGCCAAAAGCTTTCCCCAATTCATCTGGGGAAAGGGGAATAAGTGGGATGACAACTCCTACTGGCTGTCGTTCTCATTTAGCGTTTTCACAATGTGGCTATGTGGAGACCTTTGAGACTGATGCAGTGAATAAGGGTTGTGAAAAATTACTTCTGCATCTTGTTGCTAAATCTCTGAGGTATTCTGTAACTTATTTGAGGGTCTAGAAGTTGACTGTATTATAATGAAAATTATTACAGATTATTATTATTTTGCAGGGTTGCAACTAATGATTACTGTTGTTATCAGTTGAGACTGAAATATCTCAACAACTAATGGATGGATTGCCATGAAATTTAATTTTTAAAGCTGACATTAAAGCTATTAGCACGGTCAAAATCCAGCTCATCCTCGGCTGTAATTTGTGTTTAGTGCTAATTAGAAAATGCATGCTAACACACTACACTAGGATGGTGAACATCGTAAACATTACAAACATTACGTGCTAAAAATCAGCTCATTAGAATCGTCATTGTTAGCATGCTGACTTTAGCATTTAGCTCAAAGGACCACATTGCTGCAGACTCAAGTCTCGGTATTGTGAAATACTGGAAATCCTTTAATCCTGAATCTTTTAAAAGAAAGAACTCGAGAAGAAAAAGGGGACTTTGCTCAACTCATGTCATCATACTAAAAACTACAAACTGTAGTCGAGTAGTCTTGAGTAATACGTGGCTTCATTGTAAGTAGTTATAAGAAAAA